GTCAAGAAGCCTCAAGCTCTAAGAAGAATAGATCCTTTATTATTATTATTATCGTAGTTCAAGACAATTGTGAAAGATTGAGAGAAAGGAATATTTGAGTATGCTCTACATATATGTATATATATTGTTACACAGTACATAGTGCTTAGACACATTGTCACAGGATCTACCTTCCTACTATCCCGTGTCAGCACGCACGATTGTCAGATGAGGGACGCAAAACCAACCCAAGCACTGTGTGTCGGTATGACAGAATTCTCTTTCTCTGTTACATCTCAAAGAAAAGAGTAGACAAACCTGTAAAGCAGAAATAAAACCACAAATAAAGTGCAACCTCCCCGATGCCTATAAAACGAGGCTATTAGTTCAATATGTTATTCCATCCAATATTGTGCGCCTTCCTTTGGAATATGTGTTTACCCTCCCTGTTTTTACGCTATCAATTCAAATGGATAAATAGGAGTCAAAATTATAATGAGCACCAGGGAAAGGGGAATAAATGATAACCACCACAAAGCTCAAACAGTACCTAGCATCTTGAAGTTTCGGATACCAGTGTGATTTCATGCGACCTGGATCACCTGTAGGCCACGTTCGATGGGGTGATAACTTATATCCATATCATCAACGAAACCAACAACTACGAAATCGCGGTACAAAGTTACTCTCGCTTTGATGAATTTTCGGCAGGGATGAATTCATCAATTTCGCCGTAGAGCGGAGGCGGTAAACCCGGTAGCTCATCGCCGGGATCGGGCAGGTCCGGCAAGTCCAATTCAGCAGCTACTTGCAGGAGAAGGGCCGCACGCTCGTAATACAACTCCACGCGGCTTCGCATTTGAAAAAGAAACGCCCGCCGACTCACCAAATTGTCCATTGCGGCAGCGTATTTTGAGGCTGTCGATACGACGATTTCCATTGCATCGATATATGAACGCGCAGCGACAAGGGGATTCCCCTCCGGAGACTCCTCGGCCCGTGCGCGCTCGATGAGCCTACCGGCATTTTGAATCCCTTCCATGTCGCTGAGCATGGTGGTAGTGGTTTTCGCCTTTATTTGTTTGTCTACTACTGTTATAAAAAAGTACAATGAAAGTGGACTAAAGTAAGGAAAATGGAGGGGAAAAGCGCAAAGGTCTCATCGTGTGAAAATACTTTTTTGGGTTCTCTTAGGAGAAAAAAAGAGAAAATAGAGACACACCAGTAGCATTGATAAACATATGATATACACTCTACAGTAAACTAAAGGGTAATGGTAGTATGAAATGTTTAGTTTAAAGGGATGTCTTTTTACATGTTGCTTTTTTGCTTTATCGCTCGACTTCGGACACAATGGATTGCTTGGAACTGATTTTAAAAAATCTTTCAATGTCTACTAAAAAAAAAATGACAAGGATAGAATTAGATGCTCGACCATAGGGATCTATTCGTACAGTTCCCTATTAGAGGCCCACCATTTCTAAATCACAAAATACGGAGTATACAGATGATAAAATCTAAAAAAAAAGAGTATACATCATCGTAAGGCGATTCTTCCAAGTTTAATATAGAGTCCTTTATTTACTCTATGATAAACAGAATAGAGTAAAAGAAGCACCTGATTTTACAAAAAAAAGAAAGAAAGTGCGCATGGAAAAGAAAATGTAACATCTGACACTACTATATACAATAAAGTAATTTGAAATAATAATAATAATAATAATAATACTAACAGTTTGATCAGACCATTGAGAATGACAAACACTTTTCTTTTTTTTTTGCTTCCTAAATCTCCCTTTTTTTCCTTTCTGGGGGTCCCCCCTCTCCCTCTTTAATGGAGCTTATGGCGGTGTGGGTCAACCCGATCCACGGCGAGCTTCCGCTCGAGTGTGCGCACGCGCGCCAGGGCTGCGAGGTCGGTCCCGGGAAGGCTCCTTGCGAGCGCCGAGGCCTGGCGGAGCGTTCCGTGCGAATCCCGCAGCTTCCCTATTTCGCGAGTGAAGCGCGTGAGCTCGCCCGTGGCCTGCTCCCCCGGGGCGCACGCAGGGTTCGTGCAGGTCAGCGCCGCGCGCGTGCGCCCGTCGTGATGGCCGGGGACCTCTGGCAGCGGCCGCAGGTCGGAATGCCCGCTCTGGGCCACCGTCCCCAGCACGTAGCCCTCGTTCTCAAGCCGGCGGGAGCTCTGGCAATGAAGGAGGTCCGCGTAGGGAACGGGGACGGGATTCGTGCAGTAGCCCCCTTCTCGTATCACCGCCGTCCCTTCTCTTAGGGCCCGCTGAGGGTGCCCCGATAACTGCCAAACCCGGCGCGCGGGGTTCCCGTCGTCGTCTTTGTTCTTGAGATTATTCTCAGCGGCGCTGCCAGCGATGCCCTGAGGGAGCTGACCCGGCTTCGCCTGGCTCACATCGCCGTAAAGCCAAGACGTGCAGGAGAACGGCTCGGCCTTAGGGAAAGGCGGCCCCATCGAAGAGACCCCGCGGGCGTTAAAAGAAGGAGGGCACCCTCGATGTTGAGGGGACGGCCGCGAGACCGCTCGGACGACCTCCGCGGTGCTCGTCGGCCCCCCACCTGGGTGCCGCCGCGCCAAGGACGACTGATCCGTGATTTTCGGCGGCAAATCGGCTCCACTGTCAACCAGGGCCTCGTCAACTTTAAGCTTGAGGAAGTCCTCATTATACCCAGCCGCGGTCCGTCGCGGATGCAGGGAACTCGTGGAGGGGGTCCCATCCAGGCAGGAAAGAATCTCGACCGCGGCGGACCGCGCCAGTGTCGGGCCATCACCGTAGTCGTTTTGGTAGACCGTCAGTGGGTGCGTGCCATGGCCGGCGTTCGCGCTCAGATCAGGCCGGTACCATTCCCTCACGAAAGGGCC